TCCTTTCTCTGGGGGCCGAAAAGCTTTGATACACGACGTATCGCCCTAATCGCTCCCGGACCTCCTCCCCTTCCCCTTATTCTCCTCGGCCTGTCATGTTCTGCTCCGCTGTTGTAAGCAGACGCCAAATGAAAGAGGGGGAGGGAGGTGGTGCGGATATCCTCGGCGCGCGCTTTTATTCGGAACGAATTGCATTGCCGCCCACATCGTCGTCATCGCGCCGTATGCAGCAGGGGGTTGAAGCCCTCCCGTCCTGAGCGACTCGCTGGAGCTCTGCTCTGCGTTGTTTGAGAAACTTTTTCGAGAAGGGTTCCCGCCCGCCCAGCCTCTCTCGCCTGCTGAATATCGGAGCGCCCCGGACTGCGAAGTCACTGCGATCGGGACGGGTTGAATGCTAATCCAGTGGAGGTGATGATGCCTTTCTGCGACTCGGAGAGAAAGGGAAGGGGTACAGAGAGGCAGATGGACCCCCACCGCCATTTTCCCCCGGCTTCACAAGTCTTCTGTCTTCTTTTCTTTTCTTTTTCACGTCGTCGCTCTCGCGCTTTGCTCGCGCTCTCTTTCACTCTGCTCCCGCCGTTTCAAGAGGAGGGTGGGGGAGGTGGGAGGGAGTGAGCGGCAGCAGGGGATGAAGCAGCACCAGCAAAAAGCATTGTCTCAGTTTTCGACGCATTTCCACCCCCTCGTGCACATTTTTCTTCTATTTTTTTTCTGGAGCGCCTCGCTCTTACACACGCGCGGCGCGGCGCGGCCCACCCGTGACTGTGCTGAGCACGTGCTGAGCTGTCACGCGCAGCCTCTCTATTGGCGGGGGTGAAGTGGGGGAGGGGAGAGGGGCGGGCGCGGGGGTGCGAGCGGCTGCGGCGGCGGTGCCGAGCCGAGTGTGAGTCTGGTTGGTATATCGGCTGCTGCTGACCCCGTCCCCCTCCTCGCCCGGTACGTCACACCTGCCCTGGGCCCCGCGCACTGGAGCCCCACCTGACACCCGGCACCCGGCGGCCGGCTCCGCTCGGCCCGTGCCACCTGTCGGCAGCAGCAGCAGCAGCCCGCCGAGCCTGCTGCCGCAAGGAACGGAAGAAACGAGTGGAGAGAACCTGCACGACTCAATCCTTGCCGCCGCCCGACTCTTTTTCTGAGAACTTCTGTGTAAACGTACAAACTGCAGCTGCCAAGGAAATGCGTGTTTGTGTGTGTGCGCACGCGCCCGATGCACGCGCGCTGCTGCTGGCCCTGCATGCTGCTTGTGGCTGGGATGGGACCTGCCCCGCACGCGCTGCGGCGGCGGGTTGGGTTGTAGTCGTGTCCAAACAATCACGGGTGGGCGAAATGGATGGACGGAGTTGGACGGAGTGCGGCGGTGACCGGGGCCAGAGTCAGACCGCTGTCGATGGTGTTGCAGGCTACAGGGGTGGCGGCGGACACCCTATACACCCTCGGCGACCACCCCCTCCCCGCCCCGCCCCGCTCCGCGCCTCGTCGTGATCGAGTAATGAGAGAGCGGTCGATAAGTCCCGCTGCATGATGTGATGCGTATGTGTTGCGGCGCGCTATAGCCGAGGCGGGCTGGCTGGAGGGGGGGGGGGGGGTGTATTGACTTTTACTGTGGGGATGGACGCGGCTGGACGTGGCGACGAGCACTATGGACGATGCAGACAACAATTATTATTTTTCTCTAACCTGTGTCATTGTTTTGTTCTGTTTCAGTTTGCCGCCTGGGTTGACGCCGTCATCTTCGTCTTCAGCCTCGAGAACGAGGCGTCGTTCAACGCCATCTACAGCTACTTCACGAAGATGGCCCACTTTCGGAATTCGGCCGAGATTCCTCTGATTCTGGTCGGCACTCAAGGTGAGAGGTCATAAAGCCTCGCCGTCCGCGTTTGTATGGCAGAGACGGGCGGCGCGCACCGCACCTGTCTTGGGGCGCGGCGGGAAAGTGCGCCCGTGTGACGCGTGCCGTTGTCCGGGGTCGCGGGGCGCAACGGGTCTCTCCCTCTCACTCGCACTCACGCGACAGCTGCACGTGGCGGCGCTGACCCGAGAGCGAGCTGCACGGCCGAACCGGTGCGGCCCCAGCAACAACACCTGCCCCCCCCCCCCTCCAACACACACTCACACACAACGCACGTGCAGGCGAGGTACGCACCTCGGCCTGCTCCGGGCACGAGCCGAGACACCCGGCAGATGTGGAGGGGTCTTGTTTTTCACTCCTTTTCCGCTCGTGTCGGAGCATTTTGAACCCGCCTGCCCTGGGCCCTCCTTGCCTCATCCCTGTCCGTCTGTCCGCCGCGGGGCCGAGCCACAGCAGGATGCGACCATGACGGTGACGTGGGCGGTGTCTGGGGTCTCGGAGCACCTCGTTACTTACGAGGATGCTGTCTCCGGTGCAGCTCGCCGCCACACCACACCCACGCATTTTCATTTCGTTGTTTTATTGTGTTTCCATTTCCCCTCGCCACCGTATGGGGCGTGCGTCTCACGTTTGTAGGCTTCCTCCGTGGTTTCCTGCCTCTCCTTCAATGTAAGCAGAGAGGGTAGAGATGTGTCATGTGTCCCATAAAGTGATGGTCGTCCGGAGGGGGCGCGACCGTGACGCGACGCCCTCTGCAGTGACTCACACTGCGGCGTCCAGCCCCAAGCGGCTCCAGCGGCCGCAGCGCAGCGTCCAGTCCAGAGGTATCCAGACGGGCGTACAAAAGGGTCGGGGGGAGAGGGGCCGAGCCAGGGAGGGAAGGGAAAGGGAGAGGGAGAGAGAGAGATCTTTGTCGGTGAAGGACGAAGGTCTTCTTTTTATTCTCCTTCTTCTTGCTGCCGCCGCCGGAGCGTCGGGCGGGCGGGAGCGTCTAGCGGGGGAGGGAGGGGAGGGGACGACGTCTGCAGCGGCTGGAGGTGGCCCGATGCCCGGTGGAAGAGGAGGGACAGAGCGGGGAGGGGGCAAAAGGGTCGGGGCCCATCACGAAGGGGGAGAAAAAACCCTTTTCGATATGTCCATCCAGACGTCCTTTGTAAGCCTCTGTCGGTAGCCCTGCTGAAATGGACAGGGCCGGGTGATGTCCCCTAGGGCCCCGGAGACTGTCGACAGCAGTCTGATCGCAGTGTTTTTTGAAGCCCCCCCCCCCCCCATTTTTTCCCCTGCACAGCACAGGCGGAAGGCTTCGCGGTTGACCGCATTAGTTGTCCAACGCGCCGCGGTGCAGCGGAGTGCGGCGACCTGCATTGCAATCCTCGCTCATTCATTCGGCTTGCCTTTATCACGCCGCTTACGCGTGGCCCCCCCGCCCGGGCGGCCCGGCGTCGAGGGGAGGGAGAAGGGGGAGGGGC